GTATGTTGTTAATATCTTTTGTCTCTCTTTTATATTTGCCTCTATCTCTATGGTTGCCCTTCCTTCTGAATCTCTAGGTATCCAGGCCTCTTAGGTTGTTTTCTATCTAGACTCTCCACTGACTCACGTACCCCCACATGTGTTGACATCAGTTAGCTAAAGAGCCAAACTGGTCCGCACTAAAATTTAATGACTTATGGGGAGAAGAATGCATAAGATATTCCTGCAGGTTTGGCATTGGTAACTCAAAGTTAGAATTGGTAACTACAAGGAGTAAATATTTAATGATGTCATTGCAGGTGTATATATATGTTTATACACACACATATATGTATATGTGTGTGTATATATAATGTATGCGTGTAGCAAGTGTGTATATATATGTACACATGTTTATCAGGTGCATATAAATGTGTGCACAGGTATATGGTTGGGCATTCCACAAGAGAAAACTATACAGGTAATTTGCCAACTTTTGGCAGACTGCCGTGTCCTATGATGTCAATATGGCAGAACTGGAAAATTGGTAGAATTTGGTTATTAACTCAAAGTATTTGGAAGGAAGAAGACTCTGTGATACTGAATACTGAGACTCTAGTGGTAAGAACACATTAGCAGATAAAGTAGAGATGGCGAGAGAGCCTCATTGTAAGGCCCTCTTGTGGGTACTTTGATCCCTTCATCAGTTTTTGTGTGGCTGTGTGCTCTACTTAAAACAAGTCAATAATTTACAGAGCTTAAAACATCATCATGGAGGTCAAAGTAATAAAAAACGTACTACAGGATTTAACTGAATGAAGCCACATTATCTAAACTGTGGCTCGTCTTGTTATCTACTTGACTTTTTTTTTTTTTTTTTTTTAGAACTCTGTGCAAAATGTATTCCTCCTATCTACATTCCCTCAAAATCTTAGGTACTATTTTGGGAAGCTGATTTCTGGGTCTCATCTGCAAAAGTTGGGTGTTACCACTAATGTCGTATGCCATCACACATGGCATTCTGTGGACCTATACAACTGCAGAGCTGTAAAGTATGTAGCTCCTTTTTTTGTAGGCATGGGATGTGTAGATGGACTCACTCCCATGCTTGAAATGGCCCAGCTAGATTGTAACAGAAGCAGGAGGAAAAACTGTAGTCTTTGCATCTCCAGTCCAGTATTTTTTGCTATGTGCCTGGCAGAATCTCCAGGAAGTACTATCCTGCTTACTAAATCACATCACCGCTCCCTTGTCATCATACCAGATTCTGGAAGACTTAACTCGATCATAAATGCTACACAGGAGACAAATAGCATGGTATCATTGTTTCAGAAGCCTTGGTCTGCAAAAGGGCTTTGATTTATAGACAATTTATTGAGTGATTATCTTACTATTAGACTAATGCTTTATTTACCTTTTTTTGTTGTTGGGAAAACACTCTTGGAAAACTAAGATATTAAAGCCTTGAAAAATAGCTATTGGACATGTCCAATTACTGTATTTCATAAAAATTTTAAAATGCAGAAATGTAGTGAACACATTTTGTATTGGGAATATATATTTAGCTGATGGACTATAACAGTTCAAATAGAATCATTTACAGCTTATTGAGTAAATAAAAGTGCTTCCATAAAGATTCACATGACACCTAGCTTTTATTTCAGGTAACTAATTTCGTTTTGAAAAATTGCTTAAATTTAGATTTACATGAGAGAATACCAGAATACCTCAGCAGTTTAAAAAGTCATTCAAATGACCATGGACTTCACAGATTTTAAAATGTAAGATCAGGTGGTGAATATTAACTTTTAATGGTCTCTGATAAAAAAGTTATTTAACTGTCTTGTACTCTGGGTGTTATATTAAAAGTGTTACGGTGTATTTCTGGATACTGTTTGAAACCAGAAAAATAGTTCATATTTACTTGTTTTTTTTTTTAACATCACATTCTCAAATCAAGATTTCACCAGAGATTTGTTGGCTTGTTTACAAGCTATTAAGTGACTTAAAATCAGATTTTATCCCATTTCATGAAAAAACAAATTTTTCTAGCAGTGAATAGAGTATAGCAAATGACCCTACTAACAAAAAAAGTGTTTTTACTTTACACAAAAGTAAATCTGTTTACTCGGTGGAGGGCATACCTTTTTGGGGGGTGTAAATCTTTTAAAAAAATCTCTTTTTCTAAGAGATTTTTTTCCATGGTTAAGACATAAGGTCAGAAGACAACATGCAAGAAGTAAGACTCCAATTTGAAATGCTAGACCCAACATTCCATTTCAAGCTTATTTAGTTAAAAAAAAATGTTACGTGAGATGAAAAGATGCTTTCGATCAACATGGTAGAGAAAAGACATATTAAAAAGTTAAGATGAGAAAAGGCAGAAGGCGAACCCCTTTGTAGAGTGCCAAGACCCAGAGAATATTAAGGAGAAATGAGCAGTGAGACCTTCCCTAAAGAATGGTCTTCCTAATGTGTATGTAACGCGTTTGATTGTTGGAGTCACAAGCACAGGAAAGGAAACTTGAAGAACAGAATATAGAGTTGAGTAGATCATACATCCCTTTAACATTGCCAAACAGGAGTGACGACTGGTCAGTTTGGCACAGTCGGCCTCTTCTAGTCTGAGGCGTCAGAAGGAAGTACCTTCTGAGACGACCTGTCCTTCCCCCGTCTGATTTTCACGCTCCTCTCTTGTCATGTATAGTTTTCTCGGACCAGAACTTGAAATAGAAAGATGTAACAACAAACTTTTGAAGCCTCGCCTGACAGTTTCCTTTCATCATAATAAAGAATACTATGGCTGTAACTAAATCGTATTAAGGAGGAAATCAGGCCTCGCCATCTCCTGCTTTTCCCCGCATTCCCTTTACCCTCATTCAGGTCTGGCAGAATGAGAAGCTAGCGGCTGGCACTCTAGTCTTTGCACCCGCAAAATCAATCCGGTAACGATGCTGCCCATTTAGACACACAGCAAAACAAACAAACAAACAAACAAACAAAATCAGAAAAGGTGTTTCTCTTGGCGGGAGGAGTGCAGGAATCTATAGCTCCAGCTCCTGATGTAATGAGATGCCTCTGTTCAGCTTCTGACCTGAGATGCTCAGGCCCCGTAGTACAGTTTTGTGGTTGAAACTTCATCAGTGCCGCTAATCGGGGTCAGCACCTGATCTCGGGATATCTTTTCCTTCCATCGGGATGAGCTAAGCCCTCTCCTTCATAAAGTCATCCAAGTGGTCATTTTAGGTGTTTTTTTTTAACTTCCAGCATAAAAAGGGATGATTTCCGTCAGCTGTAGGCTTGCAGTGGAGTATCAAGAAATCAAAAGAAAAGAGATCAAAGAAAATTGCTGAACTAGGTGTTAGATGCAGCCATTGATTTTTCTCCAGTTGTAGTTTTAAAAAATCCACAAAAATGGTAACATATACAACAGTTGCATGTCTATTACTTTCCTAAAGCCAGCGAGGACTTCCTTCTTGTTTTCACAGGTAGAAATGTTTTTGGAGAATGTGACATAATAAAGCAGATTCGTATAGTTTGTATATGCTGCTTTATTGTCAAAACTGTAAGAGAATCTACCAAAACAATGTTTTTAAAAAAACTCTGCAATGTAAAGTGTGGTTTTCAATGGAGACACGTATGACTAGACTTATGGTCTCAGCAACATTTATTTCCTGGGAATCTGGAAAATTCTGACGTACAATTGATCACTCATTACTTACTATCAATAAATGTCATAAAATAATACCTGGCTGCTTTACTGAGAAAACTTCATTCATGTTAACTACTGATTATCAGTGTTACTTAAGGCTTCATCAAAATATTAATCCTGTTTTCAAGTATTTCAGATGTGTGGATTTCTTAAATTTGGCTTCCAGTAGTTTCTGGATACCAGTAATGTTTTCAAACATGTGGCCAATAGTTTTCATGTTGTAATCCCATGTTTTGATATATGACCTCCAAATACTTGGAACAGTTTTTATTAAAACAGAGTGGTGGCATTATTATCAAAGGAAAAGGCAAAAGGTTCATCTAACTACCATTTTCTATCTCCGTGTGCTACTTTCTGCTGTATTTGTCAATGAAATGAGTCTGGCTGATAGATTTAAAAAACATAATACCCACCGTTCATTTTCTTTCTTTCTCTCTCTCTCTCTCTCTCTCTCTCTCTCTCAAGGAGAGAGAGAGAGAGAGAGAGCACACGAGTGTGAGCAGAGGAAGGGCAGAGAGAGAGAGAGTGAGAGAGAATCTAACGTAGGTTCTGCGCTGTCAGTGGGACCATGGCTTGGTGCTAGATTCCACGACCATGAGATCATGACCTGTGCCCACATCAAGAGGCAAACACTTAACCGACTGAGCCAACCAGGCACCCCTCGCAGTTCCTTTGCTAAGCAGTCAGATCTTCCATATTATATAGCACATATTATGTAGCACAATGAAATAAACACTCTTAGCATTGGTTTCTGTAAATTATCAGTGGAAGCAGAGGTAAAAATGACTGGTTGTATTGACTCTTTGATTCAAAAACTTTATAAAATTTCTATACAGTGTTTTACTGCTTAGGCAAACTCTCCATGTCCTGCAAAGTTTGTGCCATGGAACACATAAGGGATTCAATCACATTTGGAAAATAATATTTCTGTAGTATCATACAGATTATGGCAAAATTAAATGGCAATTCTATCCCATTTCATATTACCATGATTATTAGCCCACTTTCCTGTTTGTGGTTTTAGATTCTGTTTAAGAGTTTTCAATTCTAGGGGCGTCTGGGTGGCTCAGTCAGTTGAGAAGCTGACTCTTGATTTCGGCTCAGGTCATGGTCTCACAGTTCTGGGATCGAGACCCACATGGGGCTCTGTGCTGAGCGTGTAGCCTTCTTAAAATTCCCTCTCTCTGGCTCTGCCCCTCCCCCACATGCACACACATGTGTTCTCTCTCTCTCTCAAATAAAAAGATAAAACATTTAACAAAGAGTTTTCAATTCTATGTTTATTTATTTTTTCTTCTTTATATCATAGACAGGATCACGAGACCACTCAAATCTCTCCATTCCTTCAAGAGCTGCTCTTCCTGCTGACACAGTTGGTGTGGGGGAGTTTTTGCCATTGAAAGCGGAACTGGATACAACTTACACTTTCTTAAAGGAGACATTTATAAATCCTCTGACGTCATCCCGCTCCTCTCCAGTGACTATGTCTGCTAATGTCAAAAGACCAACTGAGATTGGATAATGACTTTATGAAATAAAAACAAAAATGCAGGAAGAGTTCACAGTACAATTAAAATCGTTTTGAAGGGGGATTTTCTTATCGGTTGACTTTTGTTTCAGCACAAGTAGCAGTGCATTTTTAAAAATCGTGTGATATCTCGATGCGTGCAGGTGCCTATACCTCCTTGAATAATGAAATAACCAACTTTTCCCCCTCTAAGTTTTATTTATTATCACAGTTGCTCATTTTTATGTAACATATTTTTAAATGTTAAAGAATGACACATTTTGGGTAATTTCCTTCAGACTTAAAAAAAATCAATAAGCCATTTTAGTCTCTATCTATCAAAGTTGTTTCATACTTGTCTATTTTAAAGCAGGACTGCAATACTTTAATAGGATTGAAAGAGCTATTTGAAATGTATGCCAATGATTCCTGTCATTTCATGGCAGTCCTGCCATGGTTCACTGAGCCCCCTCTTCTCTCTTGTCAGCTCGACTGAAGACAAGCATTTAGTTGCAAACTTTAAGCAGGTTGTGCAAAACAGAAATGATGTGACTGCTTCCCCTCCTGCACAATAATGTCACTCCTGGTCAATGTGAGAAGGTCAGGTTGCTCCTTGTAAAGCTACATGATACCACTTGCCCATTTGAACAAGTTAAGTTAACTGCTGAATCTGGTCCCTGCAGGCATTGAAAACCCAGCCTTTTATCAAGTCTGCATTTGATGAGAAAGTAGAGCAATTGTGCTGGCAGGATTTCTGTGGCACGGTTAGGCACTTCATAAGGACAGTTCCCGCACCAGGATAGCAGGTAATGCTAAATAGTGTGAGCTGAAAAACTTCCAGGTAATGGCTGTTCTGACCTTCAAAATAGACTCCTTTTTTGTTTTGGTTGTTGGTAGGACCCAAGAGTGACGCCCATCTTTGATGCTGACAGAATTTAAAACAAGGCCATTGCCCTGCATTTTCTGCCTTGTAGCACACAAAAGTAAAATTGTATGTCAGGCCGAGATGTCGGGGAGCTGACAAGATGCCCCAGTGACATTTCAGCTAGAAAGAGCAAGTGTCTTGCAACCAAGTGGTCAAATATCAAATAATAGGTCAAGCAGGAAGGAGCTGAGTTCTAACCACAAAGAGGTTTCTGGTAACTTACTTGACAAGCTTTTGGGCGCTTTGTGGCTTGACAAAGTGATGTTCTGTTGGGTATCGCTAGACAGACTGTTCTTTATCGCCTTCAGAAGATCAGACATTGACATTGATTAAACTCTTTAACCCTTAAAGGTTAAATCCTTGCAGTTTGCATCATGGTAAGTGAAGAACAAAGAAATATCTGTAATATGTATTTGTCTTTGGATTAATCTTTTAACTCCCCGGTGCTATTAATGTCTGATGTGAACTGTACTTTTTGACAGAGTTTTGATACAAAATCCATATTTTATATTATTTCTCATGATGGACTTTTTCATTATGGATACATTAGAAAATAACAGTATGTATTATGGAATCGATATTGTCTTATCTTGACAGTGACATTTGATTCAAATATAGCCAACTTCTGGGAGTTCTTTTTTATCGGCCTTGGTAAATAAAATGTGTATACTAACTACTTATGTGATTAGCCAAATTAGCCAAGTGATTTATGCCTTCTGAGGTAACACTATTACTGTCATACCATGTAGCACGATTCTATTTCTTACAGTACTGAGCCAGCAGAATTAGCTTCATATAAATCTTTAGAAAGCTGTTTATGTGAAGTAATATCATACCTTTAACCAAATTTCTCTTAATTCTTTCCCTGGAATTATTTTTATTAGCCATGTTGGGATTTGAGTATTACAGAATATGCCCTGTGGAACGTAACATGCATGAAATTGAACTGGCGAATTTATTGTAACACAGAAAACGCTATGGATTGTTTTTATGTAGATCATAGAATAATTTCTGTGCGTTTCAAAACACTCTCTTCTGGTGTTCCATACAATGATTAAGACCGTGTCTGTAGAGAAATTGATACACAGCTTTTTAGCTCCTGTGACGTCGCTGAGTTTCCAGTTCCTACACTAGAGGAAAACAGTGTTGCCCTCTATCACTTATACGTCTGGGTGCGTGTAGACATATGTGTCTTTGTGCTGAATCTATTTCCAGACTTTACTGATTTAAGAAGATCAAGCACCTATGTTAAACTTAGCCTTAGATAGTCCTTGGTTTTCTTGCCTTAATTTTACAATCTGTTAATGGGATAACACCATAAATAAATGTGTATGCCTCTCCATATATGTGCGTATCTGATTTTACAGATCCGTTTCATCATGTAAATTCTGAACCACCAATTCAAAAGGATTTTTAAATCAAATCAAATCATGTCACATTTATAACCAACTAGATGCTAAAGGCCAGAGAAACTGAAGGATGAGCCTCCCGAGCAATCATTAGTATTCACAACCAAATATAGTAATTTTTATACCATATGCTTTTTTCCCAGAAGTCAGACCCAGCAGGAGGAGAAGATTTAATGACATATCCTATGGAGATCTGAGAAACTCTAGACTGCTTCTGAGCACGCTAGTGGCCAATCGCTGCAGACTTGAGATCTGTGTTCTGTTGGCAAAGGACAGTTGCTCTATCAGCTTCTTTACCTCCTTAAGAATGATATATAAAGTAGACATTTCTCAGGAGAATGACTTCAAATATTTTTGTAAAGGAAAGGAATTTTTCTTTACACCTTAGTACGTGGAGTTTCTTACTAACCTTCTGTGATCTAGAAAAATACCTATATCATCCATCACTAGCAAAGGGATTCTTATTGTTCTGATCCCTAAGTCACACGAACTTATTGAAGCTTTGCCAGAATTTTTCCTAGAAGCATCTGGGAATGACATGACACAAATACAGAGGCGTAAGAAATCGCCAGAATGGCCAATTCGACGATAACGGCATAGGTAAATAACCTTTCAAGTAGCAGAATGTTAACTTTAATTTACCGATGTCTGACTTTATTAGACTTAGCAACACTATTTATTTCACATTTATAATACATGCTCTTATCGGGTGCTTAATGATCATTACTATTTTCATGTTGCTTTACTTAGCAATTACATCTGAATTCATTCTGTAGACCGTACTGAACAATGGTAAATTGATCTCATTTTACTGTGCACTTTTTATAAACAAGTCTTCAAAGATAAAAGGTGGAAAGTCACCTAGTAAGTAGTAGGCCCAGAGCTGTAACTCCAAAGCCCACATTATTTCCACCATGCCAGGCCTGCTCAAGAAATAATTAGCACTTTTTAAAAAAAAAAAAATTTTTTTTTTTAACGTTTATTTATTTTTGAGACAGAGAGAGACAGAGCATGAACGGGGGAGGGTCAGAGAGAGCGAGACACAGAATCTGAAACAGGCTCCAGGCTCTGAGCTGTCAGCACAGAGCCCGACACGGGGCTCGAACTCACGGACCGCGAGATCATGACCTGAGCTGAAGTCGGCCGCTTAACCGACTGAGCCACCCAGGCACCCCAATTAATTAGCACTTTTTAAAGAGGAGAAAAATTTCAAAAATTATCCCACCCAGTTAGGAATAATTTTGGGAAGTGTGTTTTGGCCTGAAGTCTAGATTCCTTATCCATTGATTAGACAAAACAAAACAAGACACAACACGCCCATCCATATGACTAGTACTGGGAAGAGTGGTCAAGTGTGTATCTATCCTTCAACCAGTGTCCTTTGTTAACATTGCCTAGTGTCTCTGGCTTGGGCTGAGAGACCTCAGAGGTGCTCTCAGAGAGACCTTCTGCTGAAAGACGGTGATGGTCAGTTAGCCTGACCAAGCTAAAATTTCCCAATGAAAATAATGACATAGGCTAAGCAAAATTGATCATGAAAGGACAAACTTGTATAATTCCTAGGATGGAGGTGAGGATTCTAAAATATGTTTTTTGGACCGGAGTGATAGACCGAACAATGACCCCCAAAGACACCCATGCCCTAATCCCTGGAACCTGTGACAGTTACCTTATATGGCAAAAGGGATTTGCAGATGTGATTAAGAATCTTGAGATGGGGAGATTATCCTGGATAATCTGGGTGGGCCCAAATGCAATCACAAGTGTCCTTGTGAGACAGGGAGGCAGAAGGGGCTCCAACTACAGAGAGGAGAAGGCTCTGTGCAGTTTTGAAGGTGAAGGAAAGGGCCAGGCACCAAGGACTACAGATGCACCTAGAAGCTACAAAAGGCCGGGAGACAGATTCTCCCTTCTGAGGCTCCAGAATGGTGAGAGAATGAATACATTCGCATTTCTTAAGCCACACTTTGGGGTAATTTGTTACAGCAGCCACAAGAAACTAATACAACTATCAAACTTTTAGTGGTTTTTAAAAAAGATGGATACATTCATATTTTAATATTTCCAAACAGGAAAATCCTTCCTTCTTTTAAATTATCCTCATCAGTTGCCTTCATAACTTGAATTTCCAAATTTGTTTTTTTAGATTTCCATTTTATATTCCTGCCTTCTTAATATCATAAACAGTGATTGTCTATATTGGGGCATTTAGTCACATTCTATTGCCATCAGTTTTGATGATTTTAAGTTAACCTATGATTTCAATAAGTTTAATTCCTACTGTATTAAAAAGGTATCTTTTAATGTATATGTTTATCATTTTTTTTTTTTTTGAGAGAGAGATGGAGAGAGAGAGTGAGTCAGGGAGAGGCAGAGGGAGAGGAAGAGAGAGAATCCCAAGCAGGCTCCATGCCCAGCATGGACCCAGCTGCGGGACTCAACATGGGACTTGATCCCACGACCATGAGATCACAACCTGAGCTGAAATCAAGAGTCGGTTGCTCAGCTGACTAACCCACCCTGGTGCCCCTGTATAAATTTATCTTAAAAGTCTACTTCAAATGATTGTTTTTATTTGAGTCCCACTTTTGTTGGCATATTTTTCTAGATTTCTTACAAAAGAAATTCAGTCTTGAAAGAAATGATATTAATCATTTGGAATTTCTAAATCATATCTTACA